TTTTTGGGGAATTTTTGGGATATTTTGGGGGGGTTTTCTGGGATTTTTTGGGGGAGTTTTGGGGGGATTTTTTGGGGATTTTTTGGGGATTTTTTGGGGATTGTTTTGGGGATTCTGGGGAACTTTTTTGTGGATTTTTTGGGACTTTTTTGGGGGGATTTTTGGGGAATTTTTTCGGGATATTTTGGGGAATTTTTGGGGATTTTTTGGGGAATTTTTGGGGGATTTTTGGGGAATTTTTTGGGGATTTTTGGGGGGATTTTTTGGTGGATTTTTGGGATTTTTTTCGAGATTTTTTTTTTTAATTTTTTAGGAATTTTTGGAAAATTTTTGGGAATTTGTTGGAAATTTTTTTTTAATTTTTTGGGAATGTTTTTGGGATTTTTTTGGGAATTTTTGGGAATTTTTTGGGAATTTTTTTTTGGATTTTTGGGGAATTTTTTGGGGATTTTTTTTCGGGAATTTTTTGGGCATGTTTTTGGGATTTTTTTGGGAATTTTTGGGAATTTTTTTAAAATTTTTTGGGAATGTTTTTGGGATTTTTTTGGGAATTTTTGGGAATTTTTTGGGCATGTTTTTGGGATTTTTTTTTTTTTTAGGCTCAGTTCGAGACCCCCTACGTTGTGAGGCTCCACAATTTCCACCAGGTGGCGCCACCCCAGCCCTGCTTCACCTTCCAGCACCCCAACCCCGGTGAGGAAAATTCCAGAAAAATTAAAAAAAAATAAATTTAAAATTAAAAAAAAAATCGGGAATGGGTGGGAAAATTGAGGGGAAAATTCCTGGGAAATTGGGGAAAAAATTGGGGGAAAATCGGGGGAAAAATGAAATTAAAAATGAAATAAAATGGGGAAAAAATTGCAGGAAAATCAGGAAAAAAATCCAGGAAAAATCAGGGAAAAAATGCGGGAAAATGGGAAAAAAAATTCCAGGAAAATCAGGAAAAAATTCGGGAAAACGGAGGAAAAATGAGGGGAAAAATGAAATAAAAAAGTGAAATTAAATTAAAGAAAAAATCCGGGAAAATCAGGAAAAAAATCCGGAAAAATCAGAAAAAAATTCCAGGAAAATCAGGAAAAAATCCAGGAAAATCAGAAAAAAATGTGGGAAAATGGGAAAAAAAATCCAGGAAAATCAGAAAAAAAATCCGGGAAAATGAGGAAAAAAATCCTGAAAAATCCCGAAAAAAATTCTTTAAAAATAAAAAAAAATCCCAAAAAATCCCTAAAAAATAAAAAAAAAATCCAAAAAAATCCCTAAAAAACCCGAAAAAAATCCCAAAAAATCCTTAAAAATTCCAAAAAAACCCCCCAAAAAGTCCTTAAAAAAATCAGAAAAATCCCAAAAAATCCTTAAAAAACCCCCAAAAAATCCCAAAAAATCCTTTAAAAAAATCTGAAAACAAAATCCCGGAGAAATCCTGAAAAATCCCCCAAAAAATCCTTTAAAAATAAAAAAAATCCCAAAAAAATCCCTAAAAAAGAAAATAAAATAAAAAAAATCCCAAAAAATCGCTAAAAAACCCGAAAAAATCCCAAAAAATCCTTAAAAATTAAAAAAAAAAAATCCCAAAAAGTCCTTAAAAAAATCTGAAAAAACGCCAAAAACCCCTCAAATATTTAAAAAAAAAAGCAAAAAATCCTTAAAAAAAACCCCAAAAAATC